TTTGCATATTCTTTAATTATTCCGATCATTCCTGTTTGTTTGAGATATTGTTTGTCCGCGTGCTGTCGAGATCTAAAAATTACCGCCCAGGAAAGAGGAAATCAACCTTCTCTCCACCCTGCCCCATACAACTGGATCCAGTCCCTCAGTCAGAACGGCTGGACGGCCCGCCTACTAAAGCCGCACCTGGTGATCACAGTACTGTTGACCTACTCAATTATTTTGAGTTGGTGTGATTACGTTGGCATGGTGGCGCTGTGCGTTGCGGTGTGTGTTCTGTTGGCGGCCTTGTTTCTTTGTTGCAGTGTCTACCGTTTTTGGCCCAATGACGGTGGTCCTTCTGGACTTTCGGCCTGCCGTCTCCTAACTTTCCTGTAGGATATTTCAGGGTTAAGGTTTAGGGCTGCGGCCAAGGGTTGGGGTTAGGTTTAGGGGCTAGAGGTAAGGTTAGAGGTTACGGTTAGGGGTGAAGGTCAGGGGTTAGGGCAACTATTTCTCAAGCACTTAAAGCGCAACCACGCATTCCCAATAGCTTTTCTTTTGCATACAATTACTTGACCTCGTCCCCTTTGCGTTCCTCGGTCCCAACTGTAAAGATCCCTATTACCACCTAGCCCGTATTACAGGTGGCTGGGGCTCGTTTACCTCAGATGCGGCTACTTAACCACATCTGACCCAATCATTTGTTTGGTTTCCGCCAAGTTCACTAATATCGTGCTGCGCGTTGAAGGGCATGATGGGGGGCTTAGTGAGCTTCACCTACATATTTCGGTCACATATCACCATGGCCATGCATGTAGGCTTCGAGATGGATGTTGGTTTAGGGCTGCGGTTAAGGGTTGGGGTTGGAATTAGGGCGTAGGACTAGGGTTAGGGATTAAAGACAGGGGTTAGAGTCAGGGGTTACGGTTAGGGGTTAAGGTCAGGGGTTAGGGCATCTATTTCTCAATCACTTAAAGTGCAACCGCGCATTCCCAATAGCTTTTCTTTTGCATACAATTACTTGACCTCGTCTCCTTTGCGTTCCCCGACCTCCTCCGTAAAACCCCTATTACCGCCGGTCCCGTATTACCAGAGGGCTGGGGTTTCGTTTACCTCAGGCGCGGCTACTTAACCACATCTAACCAAAGTTCTGAGCGGTGAGTAATACGCCTCATTGTCTCGCCCGCGAGCAGGCTAAATTTGCGTTCTAGAATGGCAGCCCACATGCCTCAATCGCGGCCGGATTGGTAGGATATCAAAGCCTTAATTGGCACTACGGGGGGGGGGGGTCCCGCGCTTGTCAACATGCCATCTCAACTAGCTGTGCAGTAGGGGTGTTAGGAAGAAAATCTTGACGAGTGTCGGTTCTGATCACACCGGTACACTTATCTGGGGTTAGGGTCTAGGGTTAGGACAACTTTTTCTCAACCAGTCAATGTACAACCGCGTATTCTCAATAGATCTTCTTTTGTACACAACTACTTGACCTCGTCGCCTGTGCGTTCCCCAGCCCCATCTGTAAAAACCCCGATTACCACCGGTTCCGTATTACCATATGGCTGGGGTTTGTTTACTTCAGGTGTGGCTACATAGTCACATCTGACCAATATTTTTCCAGGCTAGATCAATGTTTGCAATTCTAGGGCTGGCCTGAGCCAAACAACCGGAAAATTGGAAGGGAAGGCCTGCCTTCGCCTTGAGGGCGTGCGGGCATATTTTTGTTTATTTCAATGACTCTGCGCGCATCATGCCGACCGCATTGTTGGACACTTTTGACGGTCATAAACAAGACACTTGTGATGCAGGGAAGCCAAACAAAGAAGGCACTCAAGGGTGCTTGCGTAAAGCGAGTGTCATTCCCCGTTGCTAAGCGACCGATCCGAGGAAATGCTAATCAAACTTCTGAAGCGCGTTCTTGATCAAGTAGGATTGCTTAAGAAGATTTGTAGTAGTGATTATTGTGTAACATAAAGCCGATATATCTTGGACACGTCAGGGTTTTGGCTGTTGAATGGACTTACGGTCGGCCGACTGCAAAAACCACGCCCTGTATACGAGAGACTGCTCAACCGACACTACTTTTTCGCTAAGATGTGGTTTGTTAGCCCCACCTGATGGACACAATACTGTTGGGGTTGGGGTTATGGTTAGAGGTTAGGGTCTAGGATTAGGGGTTATAGTTAGTGGTAGGGTTAGGGGTTAGCACATCTATTATTCAACCATTCAAAGCACAATCGCGCACTCCCAATAGATTGTTTTTGCATACAAATACTTGACCTCGTCGCCTGTGCGTTCTCCGGTTTCACCTGTAAAAACCCTTATTACTACCGGCCCCGTATTACAGGTGACTGGTGTTCGTTTACTTCAGGTGGGGCTACATAACCACATCCGACAAATTTTTCTATTGACTTTTGATGCCCTTGTGAAGTTAAAGGCATTTTACGGAAACCATGTGCCCATTTTGTAGCAAATCACGCCTTCTTTAGATCGTATACTCAGAAGAAGCATGTATTTCCATTTTAAAACAATTTTCCGATCCTCAAATAATTTTAAGCTCGGTCTGCGGTTACAGTTGCGTCTAAAATCTTCAGCCTAAAGACTGTGTAATTCCTGTGTAAGCAAAACCATCATTTTCCCTGAGCCACACCTAACAGCACCCCAACGGTTGCTGGAGTTACAATAAGAGACACAGAAAGAGGCGAGTCTAAGTTTCACGGTTGGATTGGCACATATGGCGCTGACGTGTATGTGAGCTCAGTATGTTATTCCCGACAAAGACAAGGGAGACTGGAATGGCTATTTCTGGCTTATTAGCCGTCGTCAGCCAGTCATAACCAACCCCGAAGTGTGGAACACCCGAGCCTCGAACTCGCGACCTGTTAGCTAGAAGTCCACGCCTCTAACCACTGAGCCACGAGCCCGTTGCCCTGTCGGTTTTCGATCAGGAATATACAGTGGTAGGGGACGCTCACCGATCATTCTTACGGAACTCACTCGTTCCGTTTTGCCTTAAGGGCTCTCTCTCGAGCCCAACCAGCAGCCGCACATCGGTACATGATATAAGCAGTATGTTATTATGCTCGTGGCTCAGTGGTTAGCTGCGCGGACTTCTAACTAACAGGTCGCGGGTTCGAGCCTCTGGTGTGCCACACTTCGGGGTTGGGTATGGCTGGCTGACGACGGCTAATAAGCCAGAAATGGCCATTCCAGTCTCCCTTGTCTTTGTCGGTAATAACATACTGACTATGTTCACGAATGAAGGCGAAATTTCGAGTTCCAGGTGTATGCATATTTGAAAAAGAAGAGTAGAGCAGCAGAACACTTCGTTTATTACCCTGAGCTTTCAGACTCGTACAGGAGTCCATCGTCAGAGGTAATGGCAGAAACAGGACAAGCGGCAATTATAAGGCACGTAGGCCCAATCATCGACAGACGTCGCACGACTGGAGGTGACTACGAAGGGCTCTGTACGCCGGCGCCAGATCGATAAATCGATTGACCGAGTTCTCATCCGAGGCCCAGGCTTCAATCAATTCTCGGCCTGTTTTGTTTCCGGCGTGGGCGATGATTGGGCCTACGTGCCTTATAATTGCCGCTTGTCCTGTTTCTGCCACTACCTCTGACGACGGACTCCTGTACGAGTCTGAAAGCTCAGGATAATAAACAAAGTGTTCCGGTGCTCGACTCTTCTTCTTCAAATATGCATACACCTGGAACTCGAAATTTCGAAACTGACTATGTCATGCGCCGCTGTGCGGCTGCTGGTTGGGCTCGAGAGAGAGCCCGTAAGGCACAACGGAACGAGTGAGTTCCGTAAGAACGATCGGCGAGCGCCCCCCCCCCCCACCATTGAATATGAGCTCACTGACCACCAACCGGGTGGCCACGAACAGCTGCCCGATCAAATTTGAAACAAAAGCGGCCACTGCAGACGCACTATTGTCCTTTATTGAGATGTTAATTTAAAAAAATTCAGACCGGCATAGGTCCATGCCAGGCGGGCTTCAAGCAGCCAGAAGGAAATTACGAGGGCGACGACAACAATATTCGAAATTCGGACCCCGAAAGTTCGCGCAGGGGCGGGGGGGGGGTTGGGAGGGGAGTGGGGGGTCAACCAGATTACGCGGCATACAGAAGGGAAGACAAACTGGCACACACACAAACACATACAAGGGTGGAAACACAAGGAGGAGGGGGGGGGGGAGGACGCATGCAACAGGGCATATAAATAAAATGGGAAGACGAGTTTTGACAGGTCACAAAACGGTCCTACGTCGGTGATAAATTTTCCTTAAATATTCATCTGTGGGTCTGAGAGTAAATCAATATTAATGTCGTTAAGGCAAACGCGGGGGGGTCAATGATTAGATTGTAGAGGGGGTTACAGGCGGAAATAAAACAAAGTTCACTACCCTTCTTTTTTTTTCTCAAAACCAGAAAAGTGGGAAGGAAAAAGGAACAGTCGGGTTGCCTGAGCATGCAAGATGCCTAACTAAATGAACCCTGGGTAGGCGGCGAAAAGTCGAACGGAAATCGTAAAACATGCGCGGGCGAAAAGTCGAAAAAGAGCCCAGTTGCGTCAAAAGACAATACTTATTAGACGGACAGGGGAGAGGGGGTATGTCTGAAAAATGAAATTCCATAAAATAAAACGACCAAAAGGGCCACACATCGATGCGTTGAGAAGGCAGGTTTAAAATGACCAGGAAAAAAAACGGGGGGCGGGGCGGGGGACGAAATGCGAAGTTCGACACCTTCGTGTGTGCGCTCGCAGGGGGGAGGGGGCCCTCAAAAATCGGCACTCAGTGGCCTAACGACGCGAAAGAGGAACAGGCAGTGGGGGAGGAGGGGAGCTCCTTGCCCCTCTTCAGCCCGCTCACACACCTTTCCGTACTTGGAAAACCTCTATGAACAGACTTTTTGTTCCAAAAGAAGCACATAGGGGAGAAATCTGGGATGCGGAATAGAACACGTCGAGAGTGGAAGGTTAGGAGAAAACAGGTGGGACTGAGCGGCGATCAGCTGACTGGTGTTCCACTGCTCGTTGGAGCATTCAGCCGCAGCAGCAGTGGGGGCACTGAGGTGGGCGGATTGTCCAACAGCTCTGGCGGATAGCCGTGCAGGAAGGGGCAGGTGGAGCCCTTGAAGCACTCCCCCAGCTCCCAGAACTTACAGGTGACCTTTGTAAGGTCATGCGCGAATTCACAGTCCTCCTTCTTGCAGTGGCCGCGCAGGTAGAAACTGCAGGCCCGTCGCCATTTGGCAATTACAGGCTTGGCACCATCAACCGCTGCGCCGCCTTCTGACGTGACGATGGCTTTTGCGGTTCTACGCGGGTGTCCACTGCTCTTGGTGGATGTGAGAAAACTACCACTACCACCACCATCATCGACAAGTGTGGGGCCATCGGAGTTGAGACAGTTGGAGCCCAAGCTCGCAGACAGTGGCTTCACAGGGAATTGGTTGAGTCGTGACGCCTGATCCTGCTATAAAAGGGACGCAACATGAAATGGGTAAATGTGCGCAGGGCAAAGGTCAGTGGACAGCAAGCACAAAACAGAATTCAGGTACATATATATGATAAGGTGATACCGACAAAGAAAAGGGAGACCGGAATGGCCATTTCTGGCTTATTAGCCGTCATCAGCCAGTCATACCCAACCCCAAGTGTGGATCACTTGAGATTCGAACCCGGGATCTTTGGTCATGGAGTTTGACGCTCTACCACTAAGCCACGGACCCGTTGTCCTGTCGGTTGTGATCGGGAATATCAATTATGACAGATGGGCGCTCACCGATCAGGTTACAGAACATGCTCGTTCTGTTGTGCCTTGGGACTCATACTTAAACCTTATCAACATATATCACTAGTCGCTGTGCGACTGCCTGCGAGGGTTTAAGTATGAGTCCCAAGGCACAACAGAACGAGCATGTTCTGTAACCTGATCGGTGAGCGCCCATCTGTCATAATTGGTATTCCCGATCACAACCGACAGGACAACGGGCCCGTGGCTCAATGGTAGAGCGTCAAACTCCATGACCAAAGATCCCGGGTTCGAATCTCAAGTGATCCACACTTGGGGTTGGGTATGACTGGCTGATGACGGCTAATAAGCCAGAAATGGCCATTCCGGTCTCCCTTGTCTTTGTCGGCTCCATCTCATATATATATATATATATATATATATATATATAAAATGAAGAAGAAGGCTCTTTGGGAGATCGAGAGGCGCGAAACTCATTGAGGACGAAATAAGTTATATTACTATGATGGATGGGCGTTCACCGATCCGGTAACGGGACATGTTTGCCCTCTTGCGCCTTACAGCTCAATCTAAAGCCGTCACAGACAACGGCATAGTAATGATGCAGCATCTGAATCAAAAGGATTAAAAAGATGAGGCGGCTGACCCGGCCTTTGCTGCCCAACTTCTGCGAGCCGGGACCCAGGGCCCTTGTGCTATGCCGCGTGTGTTGCATCTCGTAGTGCTGCTGCTGGTGCTGTTGTTGCTGCCGGGGTTGGGAGGGCGGAGAACCCAGCTGGCCGACCGCAAGCGAGGGTGAGCGAGGACTGCAGGCGGAGAGAGTTGGATAGAGGACTCCAGGGCCTGCCGAAGCAGAGGACAGTGATGCGGCCTTGCGTCGGCCGGCCAGCTGAAGGACTGCTTGCGAGGATGGTGATGCCTGCTGCCGTTTCTGCTGCAGCAAATCGACTGCTGCCGTCTCATATCGCGCCAGCGGCGACGGCACTCCCGTTGTGACGGCCTTGCTGCCAGGCGAGGAGAGCCCAGGTGTGTGGTCAACTACGAAGAGGAAAATAGGTCGTAGGGGAGGAAATCAGACTGGCTCCAGCATTGATAAGCAGGACTACTCAAACACTTGCACGCAGTGGGGCAATGGGCAACAGACTATACTGCGTTCGCATGGCAAACCATCAGAACAGAAGCCAGAACACGCTAGAGATCCAGGTCGATAATCTGAGAAAAGTGAAGTGCTCACCGGAACAAGGGAATTGTATTGCTGACGTTTCGAAGAGCTTGGCCGGCTCGCCTTTATCAAAGCGTTTTGTGCAAAAATCGACCAGGATTTTGAGTTAATGGCCTATATTACTTGGCTTTGGGCTGATAGATTTTTTTCTTCTTTCGCTGCCTTGGCGATCTGACCTTCGTCTGTGAATGTTGGTGGCCTCCTGTGTTGTGTTTAGTCACCTCAATCGGGGTTATTTGCGTCTGCGTCCCCCTTTTGGGTGAATTAGTCAACGGGCCGTGTTTGCTCGTTGAGACCTTCTGCCCTTGAGGTGCCCCGGCCTAAGACAGTTGTTCCTTGAAAGTCAAGACCGTAGCCAGTTTTTCCGATGCGAGTCGCAGGCTCTGAGTTTGGGTCCAGTCTAGACAGAACGTCTCACACTTGAGGCTTGGTACTCAGGTGCCCACTCTAGCAACAGGCATCTAGACCTTCCTCCGGCCTTTAAAGTCCCACGTTATCACATACGCCATGACCAAGACAAAACGGCCACACGGAGCTTAAGAATACCGAGCCAACACGGCCCGTCGACTAATTCACACAAAAAGAGGGGAGGGCACAACCGCAACTAATCCCAATTGAGGTGACGACACACAACACAGGAGGCCACCAACATTCAAAAACGACGGTCGGAGAGCCAAGGCAACGAAAGAAGAAAAAGTATGATCAGCTCAAGGCCAACTCATTAGGCCGCTTATTCAAATTTCTGGCCGATTTTTGCATTAAACACCGTTCTCAAACCTATCAGAACGTTTTATAGTCTACAGACGTACACATAGACGGGCTAGCTGGTAATCAGGCTGATCTCTACCTGACGGGTGGTGGATAGCGAAACAGAAAGCAGGCCCTCGTGTCCGGCGAATAAGCAATCGCGGACCGGGACGGGGGAGGCCGAAGTCTGATATGCCAACTGTCATACGAAATACCACAAAATCCGGCAGCAAGGAAGGGGGGATGCTCCAACATTGCCCTAAAGCCGTGTTGGGCGAAACGTGGGCTTGTGTGTACAGGCGAATCTCGGCAGTCGAGGAATAAGTAGGCCCAGGGGGGGGGTGGGGCTATCACACATAAAACGTCGTCCTGTTTGAGTCTGGACTTACACGCACGACGGCCAAGGTCCCCTTCAATGGCGGTCAACAACTACATGCACTGGCATTGCGGTCATTTGCGCAATCAAAAAAGTGAAAAGCTACACTCGATGCTTGCGTCGACCGCAAGACTGCATGGTTAAAATTGTCTATTCTTATAACACACAGCTTCAATATTCCCGTTTCACCCATCCTTCTCGGGTAAAACAATCGTGCTTACCAAAGACAGACTACAACCGGTCAGATCGCATCCACGACTGCAACTCTGACATCGACACGACATTCTGCGATTTTCGATTCGCTGGGGCAGTACAGTTCTCACCCTCCTTAGAATTCGGCACTGAAGGCAGACGATGGTTTTTTTTCCCAGTCAGATCTCCAACCACGGCATGGTCGCCAACTACCTCCACTTAAAGCCGAAGTCCATTTTGCGATAGGCAAGTAAGGCTCAAAGTGATATTTTGCCGGGAGGTAGTCAATTTAAAAGGGCAAAGCCGGCACATTGCATGGAAACCGAGCTTGTCTTCCTTTTGGAGAGAAAGCACGCACGCGTACATTTGCGCCTGCCTCCTGACAGTTAGCTCACAGTCGGCAGAGAGCGAGAGAGAGGAGGGAAGTTAAGCGGAAACCGGACGAAGGTAGAAAAACTCTAGATGTGCTCTGCCTGCGTCATCAGACAAAAATCCACCAAATGGCAACCAGGCCAACATAAGCAACGGAAGGCAAGGCGATGAAGATTCCGTGAGGACTAGACCTGCCCATCTCAAACCTTCCCCTCTATCTACTCCGCTGACGGTGGTTGGGTGTCTGAATTAATCAACTGTTGACTAAAGGAAATGGGAGATCACGGAGGGTTGAAGGTCCGACATGACTTCCTTCCCTATCGCTGCTAAGAGCCCAACTATTCTTCCGCTAGACCTGCGCCCCTGGGTGACGGCGTGAAGGATCCAGTATTTTCCCAGCACCGATGTGCTAAAGGAGGGAAATCACACACTCCAGTGAGTTCGTCGTTTATGCAGGGGCCATTTCGTTGCCCTTAAAAATTCAATTTGATTTCACGGCAAACATGCATAAAGATACTCATCCTTTTACTGATTCGGTAGAAAATTACGTCTTCTTCCAATTTCATACTCGATGGGAGGGTATAATTAGGTTTTAAAAAGTTTTTATGAATCCGTGAAGTGGCCGTTCAGAAAACGCCATGTCTCTGCATTTACCAATGTGGCTTGTGAAGATAACAACATTCTGCGATGTTCGATTCGCTGGGGCAGTACAGTTCTCACCCTCCTTAGAATTCGGTACTGACGGTAGACGATGGTTTTTTTCCCAGTCAGATCTCAGACCATGGCATGGTAGCCAACTACTCGTAGGCCAACTGCCTTCACCTAAAGCCGAAGTCCATTTTGCGATAGGTAAGTAAGGCGCAAAGTGATATTTTGGTAGTCAATATAAAAAGGCAAAGCCGGCACATTGCATGGAAACCGAGCTTGTCTTCCTTTTGAAGGGAAAGCGTGCACGCGTACATTTGCGCCTGCCACCTGACAGTTAGCTCACAGTCGGCAGAGAGAGAGAGGAGGGAAATTAAGCGGAAACCGGACGAAGGTAGAAAAACGCTAGATGTGCTCTGCCTGCGTCATCAGACAAAAAATCCAACAAATCACAACCAGGCCAAAAAAAGCAATGGAAGGCAAGGCGATGAGTACAGGCGATGAAGATTCAGTGAGGACTAGACCTGCCCATCTCAAACCTTCCCCTCTACCTACGCCGCGGACGGTGGTTGGGTGCCTGTTGACTCAAGGAGATGGGAGATCACGGGGGGTTGAAGCTCTGACATTGCTTCCTCCCCTGTCGCTGCTAAGAACCCAACTATTCTTCCGCTAGACCTGCACCCCTGATAATTCCCTTACCCAGGATGCCAGCTTTCGAAGAAACCTATTTTCGGCTGCATGCAAAAACTATACTCTACAAAAAATGGCTACTTAGATAGCATGTGTTTTTCTCCTTAACTTTCGATGTCCTTAATAATCCGATTCTATTTCATAGAAAACATGCATAAAAATATTCATTCTTTTTCTCGTTCGATAGAAAATTACGTTTCCTTCCAATTTCATACTCGATGGGAGGGTATAATTCGGTTTTAAACAAGTTTTTTTGATACCGTGAAGTGGCCGTTCATAAAACGCCATGGCTCTGCATTTACCAATGTGGCTTGTGAAGATAACAATATGGCTCAAATCCACTGCTAAATTTTATGAACCCCATATGGTCTCCTCTTAGGTGGCATGCATTTTTCTTATTGATTTTCTATATCCTTAAAAATTAAATTATAGTTCATGGAAAGCATGCATAAAAATATTCATTCTTTGGCTCATTCGGTAGAAAATTACGTCTTCTTCCAATTCTATACTCGAAGGAAGGGCATAATTCGGTTTTAAAAAAGTTTCTAATTGTGAGATTTCTTAATACCGTGAAATGGCCGTTCATAAAACGTCATGTCTCTGCATTTACCAACAGAGCTTGCAAAGTTAACAAGACGGCTTAAATCCACTGCCAAATTTTATGAAGTTCATATAGTCTCCTCTTAATGCCATAGAGAAATTCATGGTTTTGCGTACGCGGAAAATATACGGCTGGTAGTTTGGGGACCCTGAATGCAAGTGTAACGGCAGGTTAGGTTCAGAATTACTCGGGAATTGAAAAAGTTTTTAAAGTCGAATTATGCCCTTCCTTCGAGTATAAAATTGGAAAAAGACGTCATTTTCTACCTAATGAGCAAGAGAATGAATATTTTTATGCATGTTTTCTACGAAATATAACTGAATCTCTAAGGACATCGAAAATCAAAGGGAAAAATGCATGCTACTTAATTAGTCATATTTGCAGAGTATGTTTTTTTTATGCAACCGAAAAGAGGTTCCTTCGAAAGGTGGCATCCTGGGGCAAGGCAATTATTATAGAATTACGCTGCATGATGATTAGTTTTACGACCCTACTTAATTACTCTTTTCGAAACGAGAACGCGTTTCGAAATTTCGGTTGACATTTAATCAGTTAGTCCACCTACTGTATGCCCAAACTGTACTCATGAAGTTATCTACACCGGTGATTGACCTGCGTAATTTTGCCGGCCGAAGAAAACGTTTGCTTATTTTTCGCCTAAGGAACACTGTATAGCCAGTTGTCACCAATAGGATTAAGTCAGTAAGGCAACAGACACCATCACAAGAGTTTCCTCGCGGATTGTGAATTGCGCTGTGGATGCAGCAGTTGACTTGGCAAGCCTACTCAGAGAAGCACTGCATACCTTGTTAAGTCAGTTGTTTACAGAGTTCAAACAACTGACCGTGCATGCTGGGCGTTGTACATGCGATCGAAAAAATAAACGGAAGTAATGCAGCTCCATCCGTGCAACACATCAGTGTGCACTGAACCCTGTGAAATTTGGAACGCTTTGTTCTGAATGCCAAACAGCAGATTATCCATAAAAAGGCGGAAGGCAGTTGCTATGCACCAATGTATGCCAACTGACGAAATCATCGAAGCAGGGCAGTTCTGCTGTAGACCAATCTGAATGCGTGGAAAGCACCGTCTTGGTGGATTCCCCACAGAAGAGACAACTGACACCCGAATGAATGAAATTAGCTAGGCCTTCGACGGGCTACAGCACTAAGTCTGGAATCACCCTGACATCCTCGTCCATGGGACAGAGACCTGGACAGCGCATAAGTGCCAGACGAATAGGTTATCTTCAAAGGGGTTCAGAAAAGGATCCTAGATACCTAGGTCCTTGAAAGAACTGGTATGCCTGCATGGAAGGTCAGTGAAGATGCAACTTCAATGGAGCTGTGGAATTGTGAGAACGATGACAAATGTCTCGCAGGACGATTCCTCTAGGATGACAGCGCGACGCCCCCCTCCCCGCTCAGAAGGCAAGTTGGACAAAACGCAAGGGTACAAAGGGGCATTGAAGACTACATTAAAGAGTCTCCAAATCAATTGAGTTCCGGGAAATATGCACAAGATCGCAGGGCATGTCGATCTGCCGCAAAGAGCGGAACAGTCATTTGCAATGCTGATCGAATGGAGGCGGCCAGGGGACAGCAAGACTGGAGTAACTGGGACCAACGTCACTTCACTGTCAACTCACGTTCAGGGTTCGAATTGGGCTGGTTGAACACTTAGGTCTCCATTACAGTGTTAATACGACCACTTCCCCACCAAAGAAGACTAGAAATCCCATCAACACTGAAGAAACGTCCCCCTACTCCGCTGCACACTGTGGCCACACATTTCGGCTCCGGTTAGCTCTGATCAAAAGGCCACTGCGGCGAAGACACTGCTGGGAGGCATAACGGCCTCCAGCCCTCCCTCTGCTAATAGTCACCACCAACTACTCAAGCAATAGAATTCCTTCCACCAACGAGTACACACCACACTGACTCGAGTGTTGTAGCGGATGCAGTCTGCAGTGTAGGAAATCCAAAGCGTGGGTCGACGCACGCCGATTGGATGAATAAAAGCCCGCTCGATTATAAAACATGCAGATAAACGACTATGGGCTTGTTAAACACCTAAATCTTCATTGCAGTGTCAATACCACTACTTCCCCGCTCCCCTACCAAAGAAGACTTAAAATCCCACCAACACTGAAGATACATCCCCCTACTCCGGCCACACATTTAGGTTCCGGTTCGTTCTGATCAAACGGCCAGTGCAGTGAAGACACTGCTGGGAGGCATAACGGCCTCCAGCCCTTCTCAGCTAACAGTCGCCACCAACCACTCAAGCAACAGGATTCCTTCCATCACACTGACTCGCCAAGCCGAGAGTTGTAGCAGATGCAGTCTGCAGTGTAGGAAATCCGAAACGTGGATCGACGCACGCCGACTGGATAAATAAACGCGCGCTCGATTATAAAAGATGCAGATAAATGACGCTGCTCTCGACTCACCAGTTAGAATGCAACGTGCATAGCGTGGAAGTGGGTGCTCTTTTTGAACCAGGTGTCTGTGCAGGCAGTGGCTAGCTGACGCGTGCGTATATGGTATTATCTGTTTTCCCCGATCTTGACAGTCAACTGTCCTTTTTGGCCGGTCTAACGTTGACAGGTTCAGTTGAAAGAGCAGGCAGTCGGGCATGGTCACGCAGTCGCAGTCTGGAGATTCACGGTGTAAACAGCTTTTTTGGCTGCTGAGAGCTATTAGTAAACTGGCTTGACTTGCCGAGAGTGGTAATATCCTGACTAGAAGCAACAAGTTTGCCATGATATGAAGTCCTCGTGAGGGGGGGGCATCTGTACGACACAACCCTAGATGAAAAATGTTCAGAGACGCAAGTAGCAAGAGGCCAGCAGCTCGCGAATAACAGTATAATGATGGAAGTTCTTTGACTAACTGATTGCCCATGGAAAGGATGATTTTTCCTGTTTTGTCTAGCCCCTTGGAAACATCAGGCGCTTCTGGTTTTTTTTTTAATTCAACAACTTCTTTTGCCTCCCTGGTTTCCATTCTTGAGGCAGGCTATAATCGGTGCTACAGATACCGGATGAAAGTGACTAGTGCACCTCCGGAAAGTCTGTTAATTAGAATGCTAAACCTGGTTCTGGCATGGGGACAAGAGACAGGCAGTGTTGTGGCACGCGTAGAGAGCGACTTTATATCAAGTCAGCCATTGCGCCGAAAGTCTATTGCTAGTCTTGGCCTCGTCTTGGCGGTGGATCGGGGTGCGTGCTGAGAAGGCAAGAGTGAGAGTGAGACTGATATCGTGCATGTCTCCATTATTCTAATGAACCTCATTCAGTAGTTAACATTACCTCCTCCGCAGGTATCAATGGTCCTCGCAGGGAATGACAGAGCGTTTTCGCCGGTCAAAATATGAAGGGATGAGAGAAATAAAGAATTTGTGGAATGCCACTGAACAGAGTGGGGGAGCCAGGACCAGCGGAGAGAGAAGGTTCGAGAAACCCACCTTGCTGACGTTGGGTGGAATCAAAGAGGCAACTGCCGGAGACAGACGAGGAAATACCAGCGGGGAAGTCCACTGCTGCCGGCGTGGGTCGACAGGCAAGAAGTTCGCCGGTGGGAGAAAGCGGCCAGGACGCCCACAAGGCGGAGCGAAGGGCTGTTGAGGTTGGCGGCACGTCAAGAGGTGACTTGAATGTCGCCGCCGCCGCTGCTGCTGCGGCCGCCGCCACCACTGCCTTTACCTCCTGCATCAACTGTTGATCCTCCTGGTTCTGGAAGCCGTTGAACGACGGGGAGGAGGCGGAGGGGACGGCGGCAGGTGGGAAGGGCAGACCGCTGCCGTCAGTGCTGCAGCTGCCCGCGCGATTGACGGAGGAGTCGAATTCGAGGGAAGTGAGTGGATCGTCAGCACCGGCGCCGCAGCCACGCAGATCGGACTGCTCGGAGGCGGTCTGGCTGGTGGCACTGGACCACCAGTTTGGACAGGCAAACGCATGCTCCGAGTCGAAGCCCGAGTCGGTACTCTGGACGCGCTGAAATAGACCAATGGGGGAAACTGAGGTCAGGATAAAGTCATCTCCCGCACTTTTCGACGCTGCAGGCCATTGGAGCTGCCAGTTCCCACATCTAGAAAACTTGGAGATGCACGAAACGCTGTTTCTTCGAATTTAGGTCAAAGTTACTGCTGTCCGAGCTACCCGGAGGCACTGCCGACTGTGCGAATAACCGATAATTCCGCATCTCTGATTGGTTGAGTGACTCTAGCTGCAGTCAGTGGTCGGATGTGGTTATGTAGTCCAACCTGAAGCAAACAAACCCCAGTCATCTCTAATACGGACCGGTGGTAATAGGGGTTTTTACAGGTGGGGCCGGGTAACGCACAGGCGATGAGGTCTAGTAGTTGTATGGAGAAGAAGAGCTGTTGTATGCCAAAGAAAAGCTATTGGGAATGCGCGGTTGCACTTTCAATGGTTGAGAAATATATGCGCCAACCCCTAACTCTGACCCTAACCCCTAATCCTAAACCCCAACCCCAACAGTATTGTGTCCACCAGGTGGGGCTACCAAACCACATCTTGCCGGGTTTTTGATTAGGAAGTCGTCATATTGATCATTGTGCGGCATAATGGCATGATGAGTTTCTTTCTTACCGTACGCATGAAAACCGTCCGGTGAAAAATGACGATATAAGCAGTATGCATTCACCGAACGACTCATGGGACTCTGGAATTAGTGTGTACTACATCGTATACCTCATAAGGTGCGTTGCCAAAGGGAAAGATACCATGTTATTAGAATGTACATTACACGATTGCAAAAAAACCACATAGGAAACTTTTTTAAAACCGGGAGATACAAATTCTTCGAGTATAAAATTTGAGTAAGATGCGATTGGCTACCAAATGGGTGCAAGAAAGAATATGAGTGACATGTTTTCTGCAAAAAAATATCGGGATGTATAAGGACGTCGGGAATCAATCACAAAAAGCATACTACTGAAGTAGTCAGTCCTTTCCAAGTGCGCACTTTGCAAACAGCTGAAGGGAAGCGCACTCAAAAACCAGAATTCTGGCGCGGCTGAACTATCTAAGGATTATGCTCCATGATAGTCAGTTTTTCAACCTCACGTAAGCAATCCTTCCTAATCGAAAGTGCATTTCGGAATTTCTGTCGACATTTCGTAAGATCAGCCACTGACTGTAATTGCCACAGAATAGCAGTAGACGAACAGATACACACTTGAAACTTCTTATAGTTCGCAAATCAATTAAGTAGCAAGTATTTATGCTATGGGTTAACGAAAGTATGGATTAAGGCAGCCAATCCCAAAGCAAACTTATCACGTGGTTCAGACTGAAAAACAAGCACCCCCCTCTATGAAATCAACCTAAGACCGCACTGTGTACCTTGAACGCGAAACTCCCAACAACACCCCCGCGTCATTGCTGAACGTTGTTCACAGTGTCAGCCAAAGGGGAAGGGGGCAGCAAGAGAAAGAGCCCCACCACATTTATAAATGGGGCATTTCCTACTAAGCCGTAAATCCTTTAGGCGTTGAAACGTGCCCCTATGTCGCTATGGTTAAATACTGCGTTATGTCAATATTATGTAAATACCGTATCATGTTCTTTTGTGGCTTTACGGCGTACTCTACCGTCAAGTCAAGCAAATAAGATGAGCATACTTTCAAATGTGTCATTTTCAAGGTTAATAGCCAGGCATCGGCTGAAGCCCTGGAGCATCGGAAACGAATACGGTAAATATATTCAGTTTTTTCTCTTTAAAAGCTAGTCAAAGCGCATTCATTATGTCTTTTTCAAAAGGAGTTTTTTTCACCGCTCGCTGACAGTTATTTAAAATCTGACTGCTTATTCTATAAGCGTGAAGTGAATACTGTACAGAATCTGTCAACTTTTTATAAAATCCCTTTGAAAAATTATTTTTACTTGCTATGAAAGAACTCCCAAGGGTACTTATTAATGTAATTTATTTAGTATTTATTTCATGCTGACCCAACTGTGAAAAACTCGGCGCCTCGGTGGGATTCGAACCCAGGACAGCAAGGGGAAGGCTTGTGTACAGCCAACGCTCTACCCATCTGAGCCACGAGGCCCCGCCGGAAGGCACGAGTTTAATCACATTTGGGTCAAGTTTACCCGTCCAACCTTCTGCAACGTCTGGAAACCACCAAATTTGATACAGCACGTTGACTGCCCAAACAGGATTTCCTAAGTAATCCACCAGATAACTACCCGGTTCACGTAATTCATAGATGTTTTTGCAGATATTGCGTCAATATTGGTTATGCAAAATCTGCCAAAACATCTATGAATTACGTGAACCAGGTAGTTATCTGGTGGATTACTTAGGAAATCCTGCTTGGGCAGTCAACGTGCTGTATCAGACTTGGTGGATTCCAGACGTTGAAGTAGGTTGGGCGGGTAACTTGACCCGAATTTAATTAAACTCACATCGTCCGACGGGGCCTCGTAGCTTAGGTGGCTAGAGCGTTGGCTGTAATAAGGCCTTCCCCTTGCTGTCGTGTGTTCGAATCCCACCGAGGCGCCGAATTTTACACAATTGTGTCAATATGAATTATTCAAAATCTGCCAAAACCCTTGTCTTATTTATTAAAGACGGTCGAAAGTATCCTTTTAGAGGCTTATATCCATATGCAGACTTCTACCGAATAAAAGTACATAGTAACCACGTAATAATGGATTAAAGGGTGTGGTAACATTTCAGTCAACGGTGGACTAAAACTGTGGACTTCAACTGTGGACTAAAACAAGACTCATTTAATATTACCCGATACTGTCTCCTCCTACTCCTCGTTCTTCTTCGGCCCGGGCCGCGGGTGAAGACCGGAGTTCAGTGCTCACTGAGGTGCGTCACAAGTGGAGGATAGTGGAACGATACCGAAAAAAATACCTGCGAAATAAGTCTAGCGAATGTGCAGCATCGGAGCATTAATCAGCCCGACCAACCATTACTATCCTGATCGAAGGGGCCGACCGGGGGGTGGGTGTGAAGCCTTGAATCCAAGAACAAAACGAGGCCATCTGCACAATAAACTGCCTCACATGACCGCCGTTCTCTGAGTAGGAACGGCTTAAACGGGCTTTTGGACAACCAGAGGGCCATGTCCCACGGGGCTCTGACTGGACTTGCCGCAAAATTTACCACACGCATCCTGCCAAGTGACAACAACAACAACCGCCGGTTACGAGAAAGGCGGGAGAGATTGCGACTAAAACGCCCGCACGCAGTCAACTTTCTGCAGTCCACGAAAAGCTGGGTTTTCCCCTAGGCGCAAATGTTGGGCTTATCGACTTTGAAAGCGCGCTCGTCGGAGGAGGAGGTAGACGATAATGCAAAGGAGTTGCGCGAGCAGCGTGTGTTGCTGATTTCGGCTGCATCTGCGAGACTAGTTTGTGAACTGACCCCTGCACATGTTGGCTGTCCTGGCGGGCAGGAAGCATTCAAGTGAAACAACCGCAACATGACTCTGCGGTCATCTGCATGACACACTACCGAGCGGCGGCGGTGGTGGTGGAGTCGCGAGACGGTAGGAACAACTGCGTCCAACGGAAGCGAAAAATTTGTGGGCTGAGAGCTAAAGGGGACGCGGGAGTAGGGTGGGGAGTGAGATAGCGACAGTCCCCGGAAAACGACCCTGACCTTCCGGTGTGTAAGGTCGGGCGAGAACGGGAGCAGAGTTGGTCCCCGTTGGCGGACGTGTCACGCCTGCTCAGGAGGGAATGTGGCAGTTAGCTGGAAACCGGCTTCCTGAGAGGGGAAAAAATGAAAATAAGGCAGACGGTTTGTCCCGACTAATGCGATCAGTTAGGTTGCTGCTCCCCTACTGGTCGCGTAGATTTCCCTTGAGCGCATATCGGCCAAGGAGGTTTTAGTTGGATCTTATTTCGTAGCCGCATCTGCAGTAGACAAGCCCCAGCCTAACCCCTGATCCCTAACCCCATCCTCTAACCTTGGCCCCTAACCCTAACAGGTACGGCTACGAAATAGGATCTTGCCAGGTTTTTGATTATAGGGGGCTTCTTCGATTAACTTCCACTCTGGGGAACTTCTGATATTTAGTTCGTCAGATGTTTGGCTTACACCAGAAATGATGCCAGAGAAAAGTAAAGAAACTTGGGTAAAAAAAGAATCTTAAGAAGCTCGTAGAAACACCGATTTCCGCAATCTCCTGCCGAGTGAATACAGTTGGTTTGCAGAAGCATATGACGCATTGCCGTGCAGACAACGGAGTAGCTAAAACAGGACGCGTTAAAGAAGCTTTGAGGAAAAATCGCCCGACATAAAATCTAGGCGATGCGGCTGGTTATGTCTAGCTTAGTGCGATACGCCAAGGCAGCAGATAAAAATCTCACTGCCAACGCCGTTCCCTTCTGGAAATTCCAGCATACACGAAAACCGCGATTCGTCCGTTGCTTCGTCTAATGCGATCCATTTGTGATTGTATTAAAATCCCTTCAGTGCGACACATGGGTCCTTTGTCCATTCCACCTAACTATGCTGAAGGTTTGGTTTAAAACAGATCACGGTTAGTCTGTTAAAGAGACTCGGCTAATTTGTGAAGAGTTTTCGAAGATTTCTTCATTTTTATGCCCGAAGAAAGGGTATACCAGGGTCGTGAAAACGTTTTCCAATTCCCGAGTGATTTTTAGGCCAGATCGGCCGTTACATTCACGTTTAGCGATTTCAGTCTACAATATATATGCTTCCCATGTAAGGGCGAATAATACATTTCTCTATACTTTTAAGAATATACACTGTAGAGTGCACAAACGTTTGCAATGGAGGCAAACTATGTCGTATACTTAATGAGGAGCTTTTAATAGACGGACAGGCACGATGCTGCATGAGTGTACATTGCACGGTCTTGAAAAATGTTATGATTTGAACATTTTTTTAGAGCGGAAAGGTGCTTTTTCGAATATCAAATGCGAAGACTACTTAGTTTTCTACTAAATGAGTAAAGTAAAGCATACCTTCGTGCATATTTTCTATAAAATATATCTGAATATATGAGGCTATCAAAAATTAGTGTGAAAAATGCATACTACTCGAGTAGTCGTTTTTACAGAGTGCGGTTTTTACAGGAAGTTAAAAAGAAGTGCATTCCAAAGTCAACATCCTGGCGAGTCCGCAATACCATCGGATGATGCAGCATGATAGTCAATATTACAACCCCACCTAAGTAGTCTTCCCTAATCGAAAACGCATTTCGGAATTTCGGCAGTCAATAGTGAGTCTGGACGAGGGCTGACTCGTTAGTCGTCTGAACGGAATTCGAACTAAGAACGGCGTCGAATGACGGTGAACAATCCACCCTAGACTAGGCCGGTGCCTTAGGTGCGCACTAACCGTCAAACACTGGCTGATGATGTTTTTGAAGCACCTGCGAGCAGCTTACGTAGTTCCAAGGGTCAAGTGTTCCTTACGTTCGACGTGCTGGCTAACGCGCACTACGGGCTAGGCTGCAGATGCGCTGGGCCGCATAGAGGGTGTTCATTGGTGTGAGATGGGAGTTGCTCTTGTCGAGACCCGCGTCCAGTCCGTCGTCGTCTTGACAACGTTTCGCCGTATGAGCTATTTGGGTGGGGTATGAGAGAGAGGGAGTGCGGTAGATACTGCGCAAGTCCTTCCACCATATATTAGTGCACGCGTAAGTACCAGATGATGCAAACACTACATAAAAAACGCCGAGGACGTCGTCCCTTTAGACGGTTGAAATGACGTCGGATATCATATCGGATCATGCCCATGGCTACTTCAACGCACGTGGATGATAAATGGAAATAGGGAGTCCTCGTGTTACCGGCGGACTTGAGTTAAATTGCGGAAAGGGTATCTATTCCCGTGTCATAACCCCAACCCTACCTTAACCCGTGTCCTACCGAAGGTGTTTAACATGAGAACGGCTGTCAAGCGCCTGATTCATTAAAATTTACGGTAGAATGGTATTACCGACAAAGACAAGGGAGACTGGAGTGATCATTTCTGGCCAGTCACACCCAACCCCAAAGTGTGGAACACCTGGACCTCAATCTCGCGACCTGTTGGTTAGAGGTCCAACGCCTCTAACCACTGAGCCACGGGCTCGCTGTCCTGTCGGTTGAGATCGGGAATATACAATGGGGCGCTCACCTATCGTTTTAACGGAACTGACTCGTCTCGTAGGGCCTTAGGGCTCTCTTTCTCTCTCGAGCCCCACCAGCAGCCGAACAGCGGCGCATGATATATAGGCAGAATGCTTTTACCGACAAAAGCAAGAGAGACTGGAATGGCCATTTCTGGCTTATTAGCCATCGTCAGTCAGTTATATTCAACCCCAATGTGTGGAATACCTCGAGCTCGATCTCGCGGCCTGTTGGTTTGAAGCCCAACGTCTCTGACCACGGTGTCTCCAAACAACACAGTGCCAGCTAAGACCTTAAATTCGACTCTGGCAAACCGATGGATGAAGCAGGACGATCATTTTCGTCAAGCCTTGGGAGAAGGAACACGCTGGGTCCCATCTGAAGTAGAGTCTGGGAGCTGAGATTTGGATAGGTGTTGCATGTACGAATCACCTACAGTGAGTGACCGATCTCATAAAGTGTTGGCCGAAATTCTGAAAAGCGTTTTCGACTAGGAAGGATTACTTAGGTTGGATTGTAATATTAATAATCATGTAGCATAATCTTATAATATTTCGGAATTGGCAGGATGTCGGCCTTTGAATGCACTTCTTTCCAATCTCCCGTAGAGACCGTACTCGATAAAACATGACTACTTAAGTAGCACGCATTTTTCACATTGATTTTCAATGGTCTTATAAATTCAAGTATATTTCATAAAAACATGGACAAAAGTGGCTTTCTTTTACTCATTCGAAAGAGAATCACATCGTCTTCATAGTTTATACTCGAAGAAGGAGTATAATTAGGTTTTAAAGATGTTTCTAATTGTGAGATTCTTAAGACCGTGCAATGTCAAGTCCCAGAGCATTGTACCTGTCCGTTTACCGCTGCTCCTCATGAAATGCACAACATTTTCCGCTTCCATTGAAAAAGTTTATGGACTTTATATGGTATCTTTTAAAAGGCATAGAGGAATGTATGGTTTTCCATACACGGAACGCATGCACCTTGTAGACTGAAATCATTAAGCGTTAATGCAACGGCCGATCAGGCCCCAAATTATTCGGGAATCAGAAAACTTTTTGAAACCTAATTATGCTCCTTCTTCAGGTGTAAAATATACAGACGACGTGATTCTCTATCGATTGAGTAAAGGAAAGCATTTTTTGTCCATGTTCTTCATGAAATATAATTGAGTTTCTAAGACCATCGAAAATCAATGCGAAAAAAATGCATGCTACTTAAGTAGCCATGCTTTGTCGAGTACAGTTTCTATAGGAGGCCGAAAATAAGTGCATTCAAAAGTCAAGATCCTGCCGAGTTCGAAATATTATAGGATTATGCCGCGAACTAATCAGCATTACTAATCCACCTCATTAATCCTTCCTAATCGAAAAAGGTTTTCAGAATTTCGGCCAACATTTCATGAGATCGGTCACGCACTGTACTGTTGTAGATGATGTTTACCCGAGAGATGGTGAAATTGGGCTGTTCAAAAAGTTTGGTCCTGAAGTGGAACAGCTCGGTTTAAACGACCACGTGCAGGCGAACTTTGACTTAGCCTCGAAAAGACTACTTTGTCGGAAATTAAGACTCCTGATGCCGGACTTCGCACCTTACTCTACTTTATCTGACAAATTAAAAACTACTCAACTTACTCGGGCACAGCAGCGGGCCGCTAAACTTCATTGATCATCTTTCATTTTTCACTCGCTCTCATGCTTGTACGTGAAACTCCTCACTCTAGCAGCCAACTTAAACCCAGATTTCATTTAGGTTAATTGGTACCACTTAATTACGCCATCAACGGTGTACGTTCGCACGCCCCTTAGGGAAACCAAATTCCCACGCTAACTGTTCATTCCAACAATAAGAAAATCTGAGATTGTTACTTGTTCTGTGACATGGTGTGACGGCATTTTCTGCTGGAAACATTTTTCTCCTTCAAAATAAAGACGTCCACACACGCACAAACACACATTTATGGAGATAGCTATGGGTTGAAAGAAGGACAGCTTGCTTGGGAACTAAACGTAGGCACTTACCACCAGATAAACAGACGATTCTGGAAAAAATATTCAGCGGCTAATTTCAGACCTTTTGCGTCGATGTGCCAAATTAAGAGGTGAAATTTCCGGGTAAAAGAGCTCATTAGACGGGAATGCGGACAGATTCAGTGATTAGTTAGCTGTCTTTATAAGACGAGTGTAAACTGCTGAAATAGGCAAGTACGCAGAAGGCGACCCCACTCAGGGAACAAAAACCCGGTCATCGTGTAATACGGGTTTTTATAGGTGGGAAAGGAGAGTGCGATAGTAGGTAAACATTCGAATAAATGCTGAGGTGGCATATTGCGTCCTAGCGCTAAATTTCTCTACAGCTACTAGCAAAGGATCCCCAAGGGTATTAAGATATCTGACAACGGAACGACTGAGTTCCGTAAGAACGATCGGTGAGCGCCCCATACTACATGATGAAGTCTCGCCACCTCTCCACAGTCTCGTCCCACATTTCAGAGCAGCAAATTCTATGTCCAGTGACCGGGCTTGGCTTGCGCGACGGTAATCTACTACACGTTTACATATACTGTGTGTATGCGGAGTGACTGATTCGAAACTGACAGTTGGGCTCAGCGACCCCTTCTTAACATGGCCCCTCAAGGACGTAAGATCCGAGTCGCCTACCCCCGCCCCCGTTTTGCGAAAACCTGGTGTTCTACACGGGGAAGGAGGTCGTGTATGGAAAGCGTGGAAGGCCCAACATATTCCTGTCAGCGACTTGGCCCAACCCCCGGCGTCAGACAACTAACCGGTTCGGACAATGAAATGTTGCAGGCGCATGTGTGAGTAAGATCGACGCTGTGGAATCCATCCTCGCTAAACTTCAGTGCATACCTCGCTATAAAAAGTCGGACGTGCTTTGAAATTATCCCGACGGGCGAAGTAATGGTCTGGGAAGCTGCCAACTGACGGGAAACCCGGATCCTTATGGGCAGTACTGTGTTTTGAAGAAGAAGAAGACACGATCGCCGGGACAAGAGCTTTATTAGCCAGACGTTTCGGGTTCCTGCTCGAATCCATCATCAGTGACATAGGCAGATAAGGGTGGTTCGTGCACATGCGGCTGCAGTATTTATAGGAGGCAGTAGCCATGCTACCGCATACCTATGAATATTCACGGCTCTCTCCCCTTCATCAGGGCTCGTTGCACGTGGCGTGATGGCCGATATTCGCGTCGTTAATTGCTGCAATTTCATCACGTGCGTTGGATGTTGGCGTGATGATTGCTCGACCATCTGACGCGCTGACCCGGGTGTTGGGAAGAGTGTTCACCAGTGCGCTCCCTGCGTGACTAATTACTCCGCCTAGACGAAGTCTCAGCACGCTGTATTGAATGGGAAGATCATTGCACTTGTTGATAGACTGGGGGCCAGTAAACCAGGACTCAAGCAGCTCGCGGCTCATGCGGTTGTTACCTCTTGCGAGAATTTCGGCCTCGTCAAATTTGAATGTGTGGCCGGAACCCGTCGAATGAGCCGCAACTTGATAGGCGGCGTCATTTCTCCGCACTGCTGCAGCGGGTTCGGCCATTCGCGTTCGGAGCTGTCTTCCGGTTTCTCCGACGTAGTTGCTTTGTCCGCAACTGCACCAGATCCGATAAACGACTCCAGACGTTTCTTGCCGTGGCAGTGGGTCTTTTGGTTTCATCAACTGACGCCTGATGGTTGCATCCGGCCTGTGTGCAACTCCAACCCCAAGTGGTGCGAGAAGGCGGCTAACAGCTTCCGAAACGTTCTTGACATATGGAAGCGCTCGCCAAACTTTGGTGTCCGTACGGTTAGGCCTTTCGTCCATTTTGCGTATGCACCGGTTGACAACGTTGCGCGGGTAGCCATTGGCTTTGAAGACCCGTCGGAGGTATTGTAGTTCAGTAATCTTGTCTTCCGGCTCACTGCAGTGCGTTTCGACACGCCGATAGAGCGTCCTTACACAACTGCGTTTGTGACTGATTGGGTGGTTGCTGTTGAAGTTCAGTACTTGCATCGTATTTGTCGCTTTCCTGAACAACTTGGTCTTTAGTCCACCACAATCCTTGCGGCATACGAGGACATCCAGGAAGGCCAGCTGGTTGTTCTCTTCCTCCTCCATCGTAAATTGTATGTCCGGGAAGACCGCATTCAGACGTTCCTTGAATGTCAGCAGTTGATCCCGATCGATAACGACGAAGTTATCATCCACATACCGGGCCCAGAACTTCGGTTTGTGGTGTTGGAAGACCAGCGACTCTAACCGTTGCAGGACCGCCTCGGCGACGAACCCCGAAATCGGCGAACCCATTGGTGTGCCCTTCACCTGTTCGTAGATTGTCCCGTCGAACGTGAAGTACGTCCTGAGACAGGCAGCTGAAGGACTTGGGCGCGTCCAAGACGATTCTCCGTTTCATCGTATTTGCTTTGTAAAAGCAGCTCGATTGTCTCGATCGCCAGGTCTGTTCGCTTCTATTAGTACTGTGTTTGCATGTACGCGTGTGTTGTGCCCCAACAGCGGGCTACGTGGTAGATGCGCTTGGCCAACACGGGGGTTGGATCGGAGCCCGGTAGGCGTTATTAGGAATGCGTACGCATAACAAATGCCAACGCTGGGGGTGTCGTGAAACGCCCAGCTGCAGGCTAACGCTGTACCAAAGGGGGTCCGAGCCGCTCCCTTTTCCTCTTGGAGTGAAACCCTGGTCAGAGTATGCTATAGACCGGGGAGGGGGGGGGGGGTTGGTGGCACGCCTAGGTGTGGGTTTTCGCCGTGCCAGCCCCCTACGACATCTCCCGCCTTGACACTAGGTCCAAGTGGAGGGGGGAGGGGAGAGGATTCGGTAACTGCGGCACAAGCCTACTATCACTTTAAACTAAGTCACGCGCAAGCCACCGTGTCCGCCCGCACCCTGCTGAGGAGCACACGCTTACGACGGTCAAACTGTCGTGTGTGTGCGTGGAGTGGCTGAGTAAAGGACTGGAAGTCAGGCTCAGTGATTCTTTGAAGAAGGGGACACGATCGCTGGGACAAGAGCCTTGTTAGCCTGACGTTTCGGATTCCTGCTCGAACTCATCATCAGAGACAACAGCAGACACGGGTGGTTCATGCACAAGGGGGAGCAGTATTTATAGGATGCAGTCGCCATGCTACTGTGCATACCTATGAACATTCACGGCTCCCCCCTTCATCGGGGATCGTCGCACTAGGTGTGTTAATTGTTTGACGGCCGATATTCGTGTCGATAATTGCTGCAATCTCATCACGTGCGTTGGATGTTGGTGTGATGATGGCTCGACCATTTGACGCACCGACCCTGGTGTTGGGAAAAGTGTTCACCTCTGCGCTCCCCGCGTGGCTCATTATTCTGCCTAGGCGAAGTCTCAGCACCGCGTATGGAAGGGGAAGATCATTGCACTTGTTAATGGACTGGGGGCCAGTGAACCATGACTCAAGCAGTTCGCGGCTTACGCGGTTGTCACCTCTTGCGAGAATTTCGGCCTCGCCGAATTTGAATGTGTGGCCGGATCTCATCGAATGAGCCGCAGCTTGAGAGCTGGCTTCATTTCTCCGCACCGCTGCAGCGTGTTCGGAGCTGTCTGCCGGTTTCTCCGATGTAGTTGCTTTGTACGCAACTGCATCAGATACGACAAACGAATCCAGACGTTTCTTGCCGTGACAGCGGGTCTTTCGGTTTCAATACCTGTCATTACCTGTAGGCCATCAAACAGTCATCACACCAAGTGCAACGATCCCTGATGAAGGGGGGAGGGGAGCCGTGAATATTCATAGGTAGGCGGTATCATGGCGACTGCATTCTCTAAATACTGCAACCCCTTGTGCATGAACCACCAATATCTGCTTTTGTCTCTGATGATGGGTTCGAGCAGGAATCCGAAACGTCAGGCTAATAAAGCTCTTGTTCCAGCGATCATGTCTCCTTCTTCAAGACTACTTCATGGGACTCGTCTCTTCGCTTCTATTGCCCGTGACTCTTTCTTAATTTGGCCGCTATGACACTCCCACGAAGGTGATCTCGGGGCGGTCTATCGGCGAAAACTCATTGCATGCTCGGGGACAGGACCGTGTGCGGAACGTGTAGATGGGTACTCCAACTTTATCAGTCACTGTGACCGAACCCACCTCCGGCCGTCGGGAAACTGTCTTGTGTGGGGGAGGGGAGACTGCGGGAGACGGTGGGCAAGCCTGCTCGCCATTAAACATATTCACGTATAAACGGTCGGTACTGCGTCAACCTCGTGGGCAACACGGTAGACGTCGTCGACGCGACACCTGCTGCTGCTGCTGCTGCTGAGGTCAATAGACTTGCTTTTGATTTAAAGTCAAAAATCACGCTTTTATGACGCAGCGGCTATGAAAACCGAAGCAAAACTGGGAAGTAACAATGGCATGCAGAACGTTGGCCATGTACGCACACGTGGGAGAGAAATTTTCGAAAACCGCATACTAATCGTGTAAAAATAAACAGCTAGTATGGAGACCGAAAATATACGAAAGTAAGTCTGAAGAAAAAGCCGAAAAGGAACAACAACTGACTTATTAATTTTACAACCCCAACAGATTGGAAGATGTAGTGTGAACAGTGGGAGGAATAACCAATCGCTGAAGAAGCGAGTTTACCAGACGGCCAATTCACTAGGCGGTGAGCTCAGAAACTTCCGAGTTAATTGAATTTAAATGAAAATCTGGCTTTCCAGCAGCATATGCGTCACCTTTTCTTCTTGCGGAATAGTTTCCATGCATGCGGAAACCAACTGGTCGATAAGGAAGACAAATTGCCTGACATGATGGCAGGCTTGTCGGGAAAAACCGCGCTGCAAGTTAGCTCGGCTGGACCTAGCAGTGAACATGTGAGAATCGACGGAATTCGCAGCCCCACAGGAAGCATAACCTGCGTTAAACAAGGCCGAAACGATGAATGAAACAACGTAGGTCGTGCTGAGACCGTCCACAGACTGGTTTTTGTTTTAAACGTATAGTTCGCCACAAAAGCGGCAGACGTCACAGCCCGAGCAGCATGACTCCGGGGAAGAGCTTAAAATAGTAGTGATATGACATGTCCCGCAGTGAAAATTACTGCAAGGCCCCAGTCAAGCAACAAAGAAACACCCAAAAATAGGTGCTTAGCGATGGTCCACAACAATTCTGGATTGAGTTTCAAGGCGGAACGGGGCGAGCAAGTTCCGTAATCTGGTCGGTGAACGCTCTCCTAAGAACCTCAGGTGTTCTCAGACCTTGGGGTTGGGTAAGGCTGGCTGATGACGGTTAATAAGTTAAAAAAGATAGCCATCCAAAGCTACATCTGTCGCGGCTGGTTCACCCATGGGATCTACCAGGTGGATCAAGAGCACTTCATCGAAGCGAAGTTTATCAGTGCCTTGCCACCTGTCATGCTCTGTCGCTGCAGATGGGGTATTTGTTCGTGAGCCCCATCACTCATACAAAGATTGTTTGCTTCCGGGAGCCAATGGATCAGTGTGCGCCCAGTCCTGAGTGAATATATATATGTCGGATAACTAGATGGTGACCTGTTATGGCCGTCTGACATTTAATCTGAAGGGAAATTCGTGAAGTCCGAGAATGAATACCCAGAAACGGTAAAAAATACGAAATCATCTCCGGCATTTTCCAACACAACGCATCCTCCAGCCAAGAAAACAAACCCACCCAACAAACCAACTTCAGAAACGCCTACATTACACCAACGACAGTTCCAATTACGTAGGACAAACCGCGTGTCAGCAGCAATAAATCCACAACAAAAATCGCCTATTCCACTGAGGTAGTCAGTCAAATCCCCCCTGTAGCCGACATTGTTCATCAGGCTGTGTATGTGCGCGTAGATTGAATGAAGCGCCCTTGCAATCAGTGCGCTCGCGGTGATGTCTGGCGAGGCCCTAAATTCCCGTTGACAGTGCAGACAGGTTGGAGGTTTGTTCCTGCTGGTTGGTAGAAGACAATCACGGCATATCAACAGTAGCCTGCCTCACATGGGCGGTTTTATACGGCGGCAACCGTCAATAGAAAATGCCAACTGCATTGGTCGGAAATTTCTCAGCAAAAATGTAGTCGCAAATATCCAGGATGGCGAACATGAGATGGAATGCGAAGAATTTTTCAGCCGCCAAACCTTCAACCCCAACTTATTCAATCCCATCCGTTTGTATGCTTAATTGAGGGGAGAGAGAGAGCGGGGGAGAGTGAGAGTCTAGTTCACTTCCGGTGCAAAGGATTAATACAATCACTCTCTAGTCCCTCGTGTCGGAGGAAGAAGGCGGACGGTGACTGAGAGCAAATGACAGACTCGGGAGTGGGGGTTAGTGCGCGCGATCTCAAAGTGGACATCCAAGTTGGCGTTTGTTTTGGACGACCGTCGCAGGTGCAGCCGCAGGAAGGTTTAAAACGAATTCGAAAGGTTTAGTTAATGGTATACACTATGCTCTACTTCAGGAAGACCACGTAAACAACAAGAAGGCAGAATGACGACGCCATAAAAAAATTCAGACACGAGAAATGCATGAACGAAGACAGAGGAGCCTAAAATGTCCATCTGGTACCATCGGATAACTCTGCCGGCGAGGCAGACTTCGAGTCAGCATCCAGGCAAGTCGCATTGGGTAACAGAGCCGAGTTCCCTGGCACTTCTTGCCGAGGTATGGGCCCACCCTCGTTTGTGCGCCGATGACGAGCCTGGCTACCTACCAATTCCATTCATTTTTCGTTTGTCAACACTGCTCTCTAGGGTGGGATCCGTACCGCCGCGCTACTTGTTGCGTGAAATCCTGGTCCATCGTGAGCGAATCAGGCGTGTGTGTGGCACGCGTAAACGGGCTAGTCTAACCCTGTCAGCCACTGAACCCGACCGAGCCCTCCGGTCTTCTTGACTCTGCCATGGATGAGGGGGGAGAGCGTGCGGTAGATGCTGTGCCAGCCGACTAGCTAAATAAACAAATGTACGCGTATGCCCAACACCGTGGACATCATTGCTAACGGCTGTCGGGCAGACGCAGACCACTGATGACTCGTTGCTACACGAGAGCCCAAGAGGGCCCCCAGCTTGAGCCTAAGAACTAGGCATAGCGAACCCTCCCGTCTTTTGAGACAGTCAGCCCAGAGATCGCGAATCCCCACAGGATGGGTAATATTCTCGATGGCAATCGACAGAGCCTGCGTGGCTTGGAGTCTCAGGTCTTGGTGAGCTCGGATGGGCTGAGAAAGGGCCATCCCTGCCTTCTGCCGCAAGTTCTGAATGCTCGTCATTAGCCGGAGAGAAAGTTTCAAGTAATGATGCAAGTGTTCCGCCCAGCAAAGGGGGCAAATCCACGGAAACGTCATCAGTCATTGGGATCTGAATAATATGCGGAAGTATGCTCTGGTAGTTGGTCACACCTGAATATCCTATTTATTCATCAAGGACGGAGACAAGGTCGGGTTACCACAGACACACAATTGCAAGTTACTTGGGAAACGCACACAACTCTGTCGGGGATTACACATCAGGGCTTACTGGTTAACAAGTCAGGAAAACCAAGACTAACAGAAATAAAGGAAAAAGCAGGAAAAGCCTGAGAAGTTTGGGACAGCTCGTGAGTGGAAGAAATACATCAATCGGCCGTTTTGAAGAACTCGACTCAGACCATAGGAATTCCGCTGGGGCAATCTATTATTGAGACATGAATCATGCGCTTCAAAAAACTTAGCGTGGAGGGGGTATCAGTCTGGATTTGTCTGACGTTTAACAGTCGAAAACGACAAACGCGTGACCAGCGCGGCGTCTAGAGCCGCGTTTACAGCATACGGCGGCACGCGCGCGCTAGCCGACCGACGGGCACGGGAGTTTCCGCTTCGCCCAACGGCCGGTCAGACTCAGAAAAGACACACACACAGAGGCGGGACACTGAACGTGTACTTTTGGAGGGGGTGGGATGGCTACTTAAATTTTACCCTGAAAAAAAAAGCTAATTGAGGGGCAGGAAGAATGACGCTGCGCAAAGATCTGACTGCTACGGCGGTGGTTCGCGATGTCTAGCATCGGCTGCGAATGGCTGTGTCTGACTAAATAAAAACTCACAGTTTTGTTAAAATTAAGCGCATAAATTGAGATTGAACCAACTGTGAAAAACTCGGCGCCTCGGTGGGATTCGAACCCACGCAGCTAGGGCAAGGCTTGTGTACAGCCAACGCTCTAATCACTTGAGCTACGAGGCCCCGCCGGACGACGCGATTTTGATCACATTTGGGTCAAGTTACCAGCCCAACCTACTGCAACGTCTGGAATCCACCACATCTGATACAGTAAGTTGAATGCCCAAGCTGGATTCCCTAAGTAAATCACCTAGAATCCACCAGATGACTACTAGGCTCAAGTAATTCATAGATGTATAAAGGTGGCCCTATTGGAGATGAGATTCGGTTCACGGAGGGGGAGGGGGGAGGGAAATGTAAGAATACATTGCGTTAAGTGTACTTCGTCGAAGTCATGGTGTCAACTGCCATCAAGGCTTTACAGTATGCATTGAGTTGAGAGCTGCGCCCATTGACTGCGGAGATATGTTGTTACCAGCCGGATTATCAATAATCATTTGGGGAGGAAAAGGAGGGGACGGATCGTGATTTCTCCAGATGGGAGGCCCACCGTCCAAATTTATTTACTGACACTGGAGGGACTTTTGTCTGTTCCACCGAGGTTGTCCGCTTTAACGTTTCGCCCATGTCTAGTCTTGGAGATGTAGTCTCAACTTTACAGATCCCCCGGTAGAACGCATATCATGAGTCAAATTATTTGGAATAATTGGACGAATGGTGAACTCATATTGACCTGACTGTGAAAAACTCGGCGCCTCGGTGGGGATTCGAACCCACGCAGTAAGGGAAGGCTTTGGTACAGCCAACGCTCTAACAACCGGAGCTACGCGACCCCGCCGGACGGCGCGAGTGTTATCACATTTGGGTCAAGTTACCCGCCCAACCTACTGCAACGTCTGGAATCCACCAAATCTGATACAGTAAGTTGACTGCCAGGCAGGATTTCCTAAGTAACTCACCTAGAATCCACCAGATGACTACCAGGCTCATGTCCCAAATGTGATAAAACTCGCGTCGTCCGGCGGGGCCTCATAGCTCAAGTGGTTAGAGCATTGGCTGTACTAAAGCCTTCCCCTTACTGCGTGGGTTCGAATCCCACTGAGGCGCCGAGGTTTTCACACTTGGGTCAATATGAATTATTCAAAATCTGCCAAAACGTCTATGAAAGGTGAATTATAAAAAAAGAATGCACTACAAACCCGGGGAACCACTGTGACAGCCATAAGGCTGTAAGAATCAAAGTAAACGAGGCCTTTCAGGATAAAGTTGCCATCGAGACTTAGTGAGGCAGTCTTTCCAACAGACAGGGCAGGAGGCCCCCGAAACGCATCATCCAACGGGAGGCCACGGCGGCACAGTGGTCTGACAAAATGGCTGTCCATTACAAAGTGCCCCGTGTGATGGTGATGTTAGAACCTAGGGAGTGTCGTCTAACGTTAAACGCGGTTTCATTCGTCGCCCGGCACACTAGTGCAACCTTAAACTGGCGTGCCGGTGCGATGAGTACAGTGGCACTTAGTATAGCTGTGATCATGCCTGACCCAGCCGGTCCCGATGATGTCGCGAACTGTACCTCTCAAGGTTTTACCATCTGTGGCAGTGGACCTGCAGAGCTCAACCCATCCTCTAGCGATGGAGACCAATTATCGAAGGTTACTGTCTTGGTGAACTGTATCAGACAAGGCTTTAGGCTGGCCGGACCACGTAAAGCAGGCGACTAGAAAAACGTGGCCAAATCATCCTAGTCGCCATTCTTGAGTGACATGAGGCATTCTTGTGGCGTCGCAGCCAGTGTGGACTGTCTCATTCGAAACAATGTCGGTGTGCTTCACTCGAATAAGGCTTTTCAGACAGCAGTGGTCAAGCACCTCAAGTTTTCACTCACCTTCCGCGCAGCACAGAGGGATTGACCAGGTGCAGGCCCGGTGTACGCAGAACTATTTGGCGATGGAGATGTCGCGTCGAGTCCACGGACACTTTCTAAGGATTGTGGGAAAGCTTAGCAGCAGCATCGATTAGGGACACCGAGTCGACCTTACTCTGCCCATACGACAGCAGTTTCGCCTCGAGACATTTGAAAATGTCTATTTCTCCGAGTTGGAAACAAGTAACACCCAGGGATGCCTTCTCTTGGTCAGGGATGCAGCTCGAAAACGACGGTCTCTTCGACGGATTATGTGACTTCACTAACTCCATCCATCACAAATTTTAAGTAACCAAAGCCTGAGACTAACAGAGCGATATCGTCAAAGTGGTCGAAATCGGTCAGACGACGCGCAGGCGAAGACGCGATAATGTCATAACCGTGTAGGGGCCCTCCAAGAATTGCGTAACTGACGACAGGGCACAACCATGTCGAGCATCAGATTGAATAACCAATGGCTGAGATTTGGATGCGCACCTTAGAATTCAGGCCGTACAGGAAATCATTTCTTCACCAAAACGCTTCAACGCAAACACCGTGTGATGGGTCACGGTCAAGTTGGGTTTTGAACGACCACGTGGCTATGGCCCGCGTACGTAAGTTGGAAGTAGAGGAGGGTAATTTCCAGCCCAACAATAAAAGAGATTTCACCAGGTAGCATCAGACAACTTGCAATTTTAGAGGTCGGGAGTTTGGCAGGCGTACTACGTGGAAATGTTGAGACAGTCCGGAAAGACTTCCGCGAGGTGGCCCTTATAAACCGACCTTCAAAATGACGCCTCGGGTGCACATTCAGCTGAGGGAAGTCTGCTAATAGAAGCGAAGAGGCAAGTTCCGGGAAGTGGTCGCGAAGAAGGAGATACGAACGCTGGAGCAAGAGTTTTATTAGCTTGACGTTTCAACGGGAACCAACCACACATTCAAGTATGACGAAGCAGATATTCTTGATAGAGATGACAACTACGTGAGCTGCGAACTGCTTGAGGCATGGTTTTCCGGTCCTCAATCAATCAACAAGCGCAACAACCTCCCCTCACCATATTCGGCGCTGAGATTTTGTCAAGGCATAGTAGTTAGCCGTGAGGAGGGCGTGCGGGTGACTACTGTTCCTGGTGTCAATGTCGGTGAGCCAAATTGCCCAAGAGTCCACACGGATGATGAAATCCGGCAGCCATCAACTCGACTGCGTGCGATGAGCGTGGCAGCCGATAATCTCGACCGACACGCAAGCGCATAGAAACTGCATACTTCAACACCTGGCCAGTCGAGCCGTGATGCATTGAGGAGTTGCCAACTGTGATAGGCATGTAGCGACCCAGCAACTTCATCCTATGAATACTGCAACACTCTGGGCAATTTACCACCCTTATCGGACTCCTTCGCTGATGATGGAGTCCAGTGAGAATCCGAAACGTCAGGCTAATAAAGCTCTTGTTCGAGCGATCGTTTCTTCTCCTTCTTCGTGAGGGAAGTCTACCGCGATAACTGAGCCCGTAGGGCCCCAGATACGTGCAAATCCGATGGGCGAGTAGTTCAAGGTCGTCATGCAAGAAAGTTACATCCTGGGTGTGCGGGTCTCCTTATATCCCGGAGATTACCCACTGGGTGCTGTTGATCAAGAGATTTCATTACATACCGATGAGGACAGCTGTGCGTGTAAAAAGCTCAATTCCCTCGCCGGTCCCTAGAGCTCTTTCCGTTTGGTAAACAACCAGCTTACGACAAACTCTCCACGACGAAACAACACCGGTCCGTCAAAAATACTTCATTCCGCCTCCTACCCTTCTGTCCGCTTCTCGCTAGTTGGAACTGATGTGTGAACAGATTACCGGCCAGTCTCGCTGCAGGAACCAATCAAACAGTCCGAAACACACTCGAACAGTGTTCAGCTGGCTCAAAAACAGAAGTATTGCCCTACGTCTTGCGAAAACCCACGCATACAGATCTCATTCCGGGGCACGCAATAGAGACGAAAATGGAGAGAACAGGTGATGGGTGAAAGGTGAATGGGGGAATGATTGGTAAATTGCCCGATAAAAGCGTCAACGGAGCATGCAGAAGGAAGGGGTGGGTCGGTGGGAACTGCAAAAATAACTTACCGGTTCCGAAGGAAATTGTCCCCACTGAGAGTCCCACCTTGGAGTAAAAGGAAAAAAAGTATTTAGGCGGGTGAGCACGCTGGCAAAATGAGCAGTTTGCGGCAGAATGCACACAAAATATCACAAACTGTCGGCCATTACACATGGACGCATCTGTGCAACAGGGTCCCAGTTCCATCCCCGTCTCCATCCCCCCTCACCCAACCGGAAAACGATTGCGTGGAAATTACTTTGCCCAATCAAGCGGAGCACACGGTGAACAAGTGGATGAAAGCGCAATATGCAACGACAAGGGTCACTGGAATGGCCATCCACGGCTTACCACCATCAGTCAGGAGCCGCGGGGAAAAACGGCAGTCACAGAGTGTAGACCGCCGAAGGCCTTTCCATGAATGAGGAAGATTCCAAACTCAGATTCTAGACGTCCTGAGTTGGGTTGACAAAAGAATAACCACCCCTGTATCCCGTGAAGGTAGTAACTCCCATCAACACTCCTACAGTAGGTGGGCTAACTCATGAAATATCAACCGAAATTCCGAAATGCGTTTTCGTATCGAAAAGATTAATTAAGTAGGGTCGTAAAACTAATCCCCATGCAGCATAATTCTATGATAATTCAGTAACTTCAGGATTCTGGCTTTCGAACGAACTTTCTTTTGGCTGCATAGAAAAACCACATTATGCAAAAAATGACTACTTAAGTAGCATGCATTTTTCTTATTGATCTTCGATGCCCCTAAAAGTCAATTACAGTTCATGGAAAACATGCACAAAAGTATTCATTCCTTTGTTCATTCGGTGGAAAATTACGTCTTCTTTCAATTGTATACTCGAAGGAGGGACGTAATTCGGTTTTGAAAAAAGTTTCTAATTATGAAACTCTTAAATACCGTAAAATGGCCGTTCATAAATAGTCATGTCTCTGCACTTACCAATGTGGCTTGTAAAGCTAACAATATGGATAAAATCCAATGCTAAATTTTATGAACCCCATATGGTCTCCCTCAATACCGTAGAGAAAGGTGTGGTTTTCCGTACGCGAAAAATACATCGTTTGTAGTTTGGAAACCCTGAATGCAAGTGTGACGGCAGAGCGGGTTCAAAATTATTCGGGAATTAGAAAAGTTTTTGGAAACCGAATAATACCATCCCTTCGAGTATAATGTTGAAATAAGACGTAATTTTCTACCGAATGAGCGGAAGAATAAATATTTTTATTTATGTTTTCCGTGAAATATAATTGGACTTTTAGGGGCAACGAAAATCTGTGAGAAAATGCATGCTACTTAAGTAGCCATTTTTTGAAAAGCATGGTTTTTGTATGCAGCCGAAAGGAAGTTCGTTCGAAAGCCAGTATCCTGTGGTAACTGAATTATTATAGAATTGTACCGCAGGCTGATTAGTTTTACAACCTTACTTAATTAATCTTTTCGAAACGAAAACGCATTTCGGAATTTCGGTTGACATTTCATGAGTTAGCCCACCTACTGTACGTCAACGTTCTTCGGGAAATGTTTCTACAGAACCAATCTCCGATCACGATGTCGTACATTAACTGGGCACTTCGTACTTTCATTGGCGCCTACTCTAAGTGCGCTGACCAGTAACGGAGTCAGCAGTTGATGAAGGCACTTGCTAAGACGCTATTCTAACGCTGGTATTGGACGTCGTCGTGGCTCTAACACTGGCAACTCACCCCTACTTTTCCAGCTCTACTCGTTGGCAAAGTTAGACATGCCGCTCGCGATGGAGTCAAAGCAACCGAAGGAGGGATTGGGTGCACTGCACCGTCTACGCGTGCCACACACCAGACCGAATGCTGACTGTGTACTCACGTCTTTTAGGTTCTCGCTGCAGCCGTTCGCTGCGGCTGCTCAGCAAGATTCGCCGTGGCGAGATGAAAAAACTGAAGGACGCGGGTGCAACATACGGTCGTATAGAGGTGTAGCGGTGAGACAATGGAGCCGTCTGTACAATCAAGGACATCGGGAGGTAGCCGCCTCGCCTCAATTCGCAGACTTCGGAAGAATCGAGGTGTTTCAGAACTGACAATGGCAATGGAAATGGGGCTCAGCTTCTACAGCATCCTCAATCATCTAACGTAAGTCATCGACATACACTAAAGGGGAGTGTGATTGGGATGCCCAGAACGATTAACGCGATAAGGTGTGGGAAGCGCGACACAGAATGCGCGACTGTTTCCTCCCTCTCCGACCTACTGTCATCCGATATGTTGATGGCAGTCTACTGCGAGGGACGTCCGGGAGTCAATGCTGACGTTTGAATCGGCGGCCAACTACACAACATCCGGTCTGTGCAGGCAGAAACAAATGTACCCAAGGCCGGTACCTAGCAAAACAATCCAGCTGGAAAGGCAGCGGAGCATAGATCAACTTGCCTCCACTGGCCATTATTACGGAGAAGACAGTAGGTCTGCACCAGTGGACTCCGGTTAAGGAATACAAGGAACAAATAGTTGGTGTCTGCAGAGCTCGCCAAATATCTGCAGATAGTTGCGCCTTCCTCGGGAGCGCCATCAAAAGCAGCGTCATCGCCGGCGATAAAATTAACAATGGGATCACCAAAGGCACTTAGACCTTCGATAGGCCGCAAGGTGCTTTCGACGTGAAACTGTGCGCTTGGCATATAAGCTATGCTGAAGCCGGCGCAACTGCGCTGAAGCACTTGTGTCGTAAGGATCACCGACAAGAGCTTAACCCGAAGAGCTCTTTCTTTCTCGAGCCAACAGGAGTTAACCAAGCGAACTAGAAGGGTCTCTCACAAGATCGACAGTCTTGGCGCATTGCCGTAAAAGTAAATAAATCGCCTTCGAGGTCAATCGAGTAACGGTCAGACACGCGAGGGTAGAATGCGACAAAGCAACGACACCAACGTGCACTTGTTAATGGACTGGGGGCCACTGAACCATGACTCAAGCAGTTCGCGGCTCACGTGGTTGTCACCTCTAACGAAAAATTCGGCCTCGTTGGATCTGACTATGTGGCCAGATCTCGTCAAATGAGCCGCAACTTGACAGTTGGCGTCATCTCACCGCACCGCTGCAGCGTGTTCGGTCATTCGCGTTCGGGGCGTGGGGAACCGCACAGGTGAACTCTCTTCCCAACGTCAGAGTCGGTGGGTCAGACGGCCGAGCAATCATCACACGAACAACCAACACACATGATGAGATTGCAGAAATTAACGACGCGAATGCTGGCCACCAAACACTCATCACACCTAGTGCAACGATCCTTGATGAAGGGAAGGGGGGAGCCGTGAATATTCATAGGTATGCGGTAGTATGGCGACTACATCCTATAAATACTGCAGCTCCTTGTGCATGAACCACCCGTATCTGCTTCTGTGTCAGATGCTGGGTTCGAGCAGGAATCCGAAACGCAGGCTAATAAAGCTCTTGTCCCAGCGATCGGGTTTCCTTCTTCAAAACAACACTCTCCCTCTCCACACACGCATAAACACGGCGCACGGGCTCATTCGGTCATGTGTGTATACGCAAGTCATGCATGATGCGAGGCAGCGTCAAAATGACGAACAGAACACTGTAGGTGCGTAAGTGCATTGCTCGTCCGCAAGAATTACGCCCAGAAGGCGTGTGGCGCGCGTAGACGGTGGCTCTCACACAAAACACCCCGCTGCATCCAACCACATCACAACAAAAACGAAATCTAGTCCGATGTTTGGCACAAAGAGTTAGGGAAATCTGCCCAGCAGATAGCATCGAGGAGGAACTTAGCGAAATCCAGGACTTTCTTCGTGAAAATGCGTACCCGGACAGGTTTATCGCAAAAAAGTATGGCCGAGCGACCGGTGAAACTCGCCACATCGACTGCTGAAAAAAACCTTGTTCCTCAAAGTCCCTTTTTCAGGGCGACGCTGCGAGTGAACTCCTGAGGAGACGCCTTGATCAAGCTATTTCGCGAACCTTCCCAGCGGTAAGGGTTCAAGTATCCTCTACTAACCCTATTTTACGTGAAGAAGGTAAAGGTAAGTTGTCACCCCAAACCACTTCACTGTGCATCTATTCCTTCACTTGCTCCTGTGGAGCAGGTTATATTGGTCGCACGAGTGGGCGCTTATCCAAAAGAATACGGGAACACCTCCCGGCGTGGCTGGGAAAAGGTGAAACTAGGAGCAAAAGCAGCGCCATTCTTGCGCACGTTGTCGATTCAGGACATCATGTAGACCCCAATGAAGTGTTTCGTGTGATCTATAAGGTCCCATCGAGCTACCCTAAACCGCTGGGACAGCGCATGTTAGCAACAGCAGAGGCGGCCGCCATCAGGTTGCGAAAACCGATCTTGTGAGCGCAGAAGAACCACGTTCAGGCTCGGCGCCTACAGTGGTCGAAGGTCGACTAATGCTACAACCCTCCCGCGTCCATCCGCTCTCACCCCGCTCCTGACACTGACTGCCATTACCTCCCCCCCACATTCCCACATCCAGCCTGTGTTTTAAGGCGAACTTTGATCGATTTATCTTATCACTGACGTGTTTGTACTTATACCCCCTTCCCATATAATTGTACTGGCCAGACGAGAATTTATCGAACGCTACGTATGCTCGCCACCTCGTCTTCTAATTACATCACAAGGTGGTAGAAATGAAATTCGGCTCAAACAGTAATGCATACTTTCGGAACGAATTTGGAAAAGTTTTCGCCGAGGACGTTACTCCTAGTCTAGACACTAGTTTCTGAGGATGGCGATGGCAAAGTGGGAACACGGATGAGCCGGCACAAAATTGGCAAAGAAGCTGTCTAGGCTTTTGACTAGTACACGCGTCTGTGGTACGGTAAATCAGCCCCGATGAACGTGCGTGATTTCTGCAATTAGAGCATGTGAAAGTGGCACTCCCTTGTGCGCGGAAGGAGGAGGAGGA